ACACACACACACACACACAGACACACACACACACACACACACTTTCCCTGCCTGGTGCCTGGTCCTTCCCTTCCTCCTCAGGAGCTGCCTCAACCTGGCTGATTGGCTTCCTTCCTGCCAAGCATCCTGCCTGTCTCTGGGCCAGGTGGCTTTCAGCCGCCATCTTGGCTTCATGGTCCCTGGGCTCAGTCTGTGGTAAACTGTTCCAGACAGACACAAAAGGCCTTTTCTTAGGCAAAGCTAATGCTTTCTTCCTGGCATGGGGCTTGCCAGCCACCTGGACCCACCCATTTCCAGTCTGAGGAGCCCTCTTCATCCCTGGGGCCATCAGTTGGGCTGAGGCCCCCAGTGCCATAGTAATCTAACCCTTCCTTCCTCAAGTTATCTGTGCCCTTCTTGGAATATTCTGAGTCACTGGGGTGAGGGCCCTCCACCCTTCCTCCTCATACAGGGAAGTGGCCTTAAAAACTCTGTTGATAACAATCTATGTTCTGCACCCACAGCACACCCCGCCAACACCCAGGGAAGGAAGGTGTAATCCCACAGCCCAACACACCTCTCCTGAGACCTTATTCCTCTGCTTTGTTTCTTTGTGACTTTTTCTATGGGATTTTAAAGTTCTACATGCATGGTTAAAGACAAGGATGTGTTTCCCACCGCCACTTTGGGAACATTGTTTCCTTTCCCTCTGTCAGTGCTGGGCTTGATCCTGGGCCCTGTATGTTCGAGGAAATGCTCCACCCCTGAGCTATGATTCCAAGGCCTCCTTTTTTTTTGTTTTTTTTTTTTTTTTTTTTTTTTTTTTTTTTTAAAGAGAGCAAGCTGGAGACTAGCAAGATGGCTCGGTGGGTGAAGGTACTTGTTGCCAAGCCTGACAAGCTGTGTTCAATCCCCAGGACCCATGTGGTGAAAGAACAGACTCCTGCAGGTTGTCCTCCAACCTCTACACATATGCCATGTCATGTTTGAGTTCACACACATAGCTTACACACACACACACACACACACACACACACACACACACACACACACACACACACACCCCAAATGAAAATGTGATGAACACAAAGAGCAAGATGGTATGATAGTTTTGTTTCCTCATTTAAAGAATGTGAATCTGAAAACTTAGACAAGGAGTGATTGAAGGACGCCGTCTCCTGCTGGTCCCCCCTTCCTACAATTGCTTCTCCATTTCCAGGGTCCAGTGTCCTGCACGCTGTGGAGAAGAGCCGTCCTATTGGGCACCTGTGTTTGGAACCAATATCTATGCTGATGTGAGTAGGGCCAGCTTTCTCAGTGGCCACCTCAGAAACCCAGTCCCAAGGTGTGGAAGCCTTGATCTGAGATCCCATGCCATAGCCTCTGGTTACACTTCCTGCAGCCATGGCCCCAGTGTCCCATTCACAGATGGGTTAGACTTCCTCCTGTCTGTCTTTGTGAATGGATGCTCTAGCATGTCTCCCCTTACCTAGAAGGTCTTCAATGCTTTGAAGACCTTTGTGTTTCACAGACTTCACTTTCTCACATATTTAATCATTTCCACAGCTAGGGTTTCTATTGCTGCCAAAAGCAATTTGGGAAGGAAAGGGTTTCAGCTTACAGCTCTCAGGTCACACTCTGACGGAAGTCAGGGCAGGAATCTGGAGGCAAGAGCTGACTGACTACCACTTATGGCTCCTCGTGGTTTGCTCACTTTCTTTCTTTCTTTCTTTCTTTCTTTCTTTCTTTCTTTCTTTAC